AACACACAACCACACAACAACACACAACAACACACAACAACACACAACAACACAACAACACAACAACACACAACAACACACAACAACACACAACAACACACAACAACACACAACAACACACAACAACACACAACAACACACAACAGCACACAACAGCACACAACAACACACAACAACACACAACAACACACAACAACACACAACAACACACAACAACACACAACAACACACAACAACACACAACCAACAACCAACACCAACACCAACACCAACAACCAACAACCAACAACCAACAACCAACAACCAACAACCAACAACCAACAACCAACAACCAACAACCAACAACCAACAACCAACAACCAACAACAACAACAACAACAACAACCAACCAACAACAACCACCACCACCACCAACAACAACAACACACAACACACAACACACAACACACAACACACAACACACAACACACAACACACAACACACAACAACACAACAACACAACAACACAACAACACAACAACACAACAACACAACAACACAACAACACAACAACAACAACAACACAACAACACAACAACACAACAACACAACAACACAACAACACAACAACACAACAACACAACAACAACAACAACAACAGCAACAACAACAACTACTACTACTACTACTACAACGACAACGACAACAACAACAACAACAACAACAACAACAACAACAACAACAACAACAACAACAACACATAAGACATAGTTTATAAACCTGAAGTGTTGGCCATTTCTTCAGTTTAACAACAACAAATAAACCTTTCCTTGGTTTGGAAATCGGAAAGCTACTCCTGAACAAAAAGAAGATGGCCAGCCCTTCCGCGGTCGCCCTCGTTCCAGCCTTGCGATGCAGGTTCAATCTCCTGGCTCAAATGGGGCAGGCTAAGGCAGCTAAGGGACTGATTGATTTGATGAAAAATATGGTGAATATGACTGTAGGAAATATCTGTAAATGTGGTTTGCTCACATACGAATTTTGTTTCACCCGACATTGGTCCTACATCAACACTTCCCCCGGCGTACCTCGACATTGCTGAAACGAAGCTGCTTGGGACTGGTGTCCTCTTTTCCCTGCACCACGCTATCCCATGGAGGTAAGTATATGGAGGTAGGTATATCATGGTGGTGAGATGGAATTTGATTGGAAATTAAACATAGTCAAGCCTGTCAAAGCAAGAAACCCAAAAAACATCGGTTTCCTGGTCCTAAAGTGGAGAACCACTTTGTGAATGATTTTGAAAGTCCAATCCACTTTGGCACAATGGATGCTTATGTCTGGTCATGGAGAACTCGGGGTGGAAGAAAATGCCCCAGCTGCCCCAGCTACCAACATTAAGTGAAGACATCCCCAAACGTCTAAGGTGGAATTGAGCAGAGTCCACACATTGAAACAACAAGCTCATACATAGGTCAAACATGAGTACCCCCAAAAAGAAGATGGTTGACGACATGCAAAAATAATCTATCTAAGTGTATCGAAATCAAAAAAAAGGATCAAAAAGGAGGGCGTGAACTCAAGTCTTAACTATATCATTCCCTACTATGGAAGGTTTCTCCCATTGGCAATGCGAACCAGTTTTGGGTAACTTGACACCAGGCTGCAGATTCTGACGGCTTAGCCAAGTCTTGGAGTCTCCTGGACTGCCAGTGGTGACTGGTGGTGACTGGCGAAGCGATTTGGGAACCCAAAGTCCTTTGACATAAATGGATATCAAATGGATATATCGTTTGACTGACCCAGTTATGACCTTAAATGGATATCAAATGGAAGGTCATAATCTTGCAGGGTCATCCAGTGACTTTCAGCATCTCCTTTCAAGCTCTTGCGGATCAACGCTGCCACGCTTGCCTGATTCGTTCCAGACTTCCCAGTTTTGGTGACAGGTGAAAAGGGGCGGAGGTGGTTTTTTTATCAGAGCGGATTTTCTTTTGGATGTGTTGGTTTTTTGTCCGGCGACTGTTTCCTTGCTATTTGCATCTCGTGGCTGAAATCTCTCATTTGGAAGGTATTTGTCGCATTTTGGAGATAAAATCTGCACTTTGGGTGCTATTTGCATCTATTTGCAGCATTCTGAAACTTGAATCTCTTGTTTGCAGCTTAATTGCAACAGTTTGGAGCTAAAATCTGTCCTTTTTGCGCGACTTTTTTTCAGATATGTGCAGCAGCTTTAAGCCAAAATCTCACAATTTGCATTGTATGTGCAACATGTCAAAACTAAAAGCACATGGTAGTTGCAGCATTTTGAAACCAAGATCGTTCAGCTGCACATTTCTTTGGAATTGTTTGAGTTGAATCTCCCATTCTTGCTGCATCATGTTGGTAGCATTTTGCAGCTGGAACTTGTCATGTGGCTCGTATTTGTGAACTTTGGGATAAGAGCTTTATGATTTGATGTTGGCTATGGTCTTTCCTAGCGCTCTTCTGGCTATTTTCACTAAAAGTTGCCATCATTTTCCACGACCCACATTCGGTGCTCATTGTCAACACCGTTCAATTCGCCCGAGTTTCAATGCTCAAAGTTGTCATCAAAAATTGGTCGTTGCGCCATTTGACGCCCAAAAATGATGTTCATCAACCAGAACCTGGTTGCCCCTAACTGACTCGGCCGTGGTTGGGGCCCACTCGATTCGCAGCTCCAACTGACTGCCCATTCATAAAAAGGGGAATGAGTTTATACCCCAAACGCTCCGAATCGCTTCCTCCATTCACCCATTCACCCATTCGATTCATATCATATCCCATGTATATCCCATGTATATCCCATGTATATCCCATGTATATCCCATTCCATTTACCCAGCTCAAAGAAGAAATCTCGGCCTTGCCCCGATGGCCCAGGTTGCGCAGGCTCTGGCGGCAACGGCGGCAGTTCGATGCGCGCCTTGCGCACCATCGGCGCCGGCGACTCCGGCGGCTCCGGTCGCTCCGGCGGCTCCGGCGGCTGTTCGGGCGGATCTGGCGTTCAGAATCCAATGTTGGGTGATGAATGTGATGAATTCTGCAAATTCAATCAGAAATGCCCAAAAAGACCAAGAATCATCGACAGTAGCAACACCTAGGCCAGAACGGGAGTTGAAGGGACCAATTATATCTTTGGCGGATTGCTCTGCACCAACACAGAGATCCGGGTGCCGCCCATGAGCATCACACTCTCAAAACAGCAATACCTTTCAGGACCATTTTGGCGAAGTGCTGATCCACAAAGCCCAGGTTTCTGGACAAGACACTACTTCCTCAGGGTTTTTTGGTTAAAATCCCGATTTCGTTGCTTGCAACAAGATAACTATTTGGGGGGTTCATAAATTACCTAATGGCTGGATGGTTTATAATATTTTAGAAGGGAAAATCCTACTAACATGGATGATTTGGGGGTATTCCATGACTTAGGAAACCACCATTTCTTGTCGGTTCAAATGCCAGATGCCAGGTGTCTCCCGTCTTCAGTGGCTCCGGCCTGTCACTTCCGGAACTTCATGATCGACGTCAGGTCCGTCCGGCAAAATGGCCTCCAAAAACCACAGAGTTTTGTCAATTGAACAAATTGAATTATCAAATTGGATGCCACAAATTTTAAAGATCGCATCACCTGTTGCATGGAGTGAAGAGCTGTGAAAGCAGCAAGTTTCATAGAGATCGGTTTAATTGACATAATTTTCGCAGAGGTAAGTTTGAGAGAGATACTTTTGATAGAGATCATGATGGTAGGGGTTTATTTTTGATAGGGGTAATAAATCTGACAAAGGTAATTTTGATAGAGATAAGTTTGCTAGATAAATGAGTTAGCGATTTGTTTGATAGAGGTAATTTTGATAGAGAAAAAGTTTGGGAGAGATAAGTTTGATGAAGATAGGTATGATAGAAAGTTTGATGGGGATAAGTTTGGTAGAGAGAGAGAGAGAAGGTGGTAGACAAAGTGCTATCGAGATAAGTACAGAGATACAATAGGTTGGATAGAGATGGGGTTGATAGAGAGAACTTTGATAGAGATAAATTTGAAGAGCAAGGAAGGAGGAGGAAGGACGGACGCAAGGAGAGAGAAGAAGAGGAGGAGAAGGAGGACGAGAGGTAGCGACACGGTGATGTGTAGGAAAAACAAGTTTCAAGTATCAGACATAACCTGCCTACATGTGTACAGTAGCCAAAAATGAAGAAAAACCAAGTCATTGGCCAGCCAAACCACGGCTTCCTCGTCAATTCTGAGCTTTTTTGCAACATGTCACGTGTATCCAAATTTCGGACATGGCTTGAGATATCACAGAAAGGCATCCCGCAAACCTTCAGGTGGCTTGGAAAAATCCGACCACGGAACTGAAATCTACTACTTCTACCACCAAAGTGTAAAATACTGAAAATGACCCGCCAATCTGTGAGTCCCAGATCTACCTACCTGCCACCATGGCCCAAGCACCTCTTGTTCAAGGCCATTCTCGGTGGGGTCAACCTGCTATAAATAATGGGAATGAATGATCACTCCTTGGATGATTCTCCCACTAAAATGGTGCAAAGGCCATAGTTCCATAATTGAAAGATTCTTCCTCCGATTGGGCGACCTACTATATAATATAGGCAAGCCGCCGCTGCGACACTACCAAGACACCACCGAGACACCGAGACACCACCGAGATGCCAGTGAGATGTCAGTGAGACACCACCGAGACACCAGGACACACCCTGCCCAGGCCGGCAGCCGTGAACCCGACGGCGCCCGTCCGCCTTTAGAGTTAAACTGCGGGTATGACTCCTGAACCCCCAAAATGCTATTCCACAAGGATTCTCATTCATCATTCTACGGAAAAAAAACACATCACAATTCCAGACAGTCACATCATAAAATTCCATTGATATTCCACAGATATTCCACATATGATGGCTTCATTCAGAGTGGGGCTCCATCATCCAGTCGTCATGACGACTTCCCCCACCTCTGCTGAGCCGGGAGCTACTCTGGGCGCCGCCGAGAAAAGCTCGCCACAAAGTTCCTGGTTGGGTCAGCCATGGTCAGCCATGGTCAGCCAGGATGCCAGAAATATGGGAAACATCTGGGGGTTCCACAAATGGTGGTACCCCAAAATGGGATGTTTATCGTGGAAAATCGCCAAAAAAATGGATGATAAAATATGGATGATTTGGGAGTACCAGCCTTTTTAGGTACTCACCCCATATGGAACAAATGATGACAAAGCACAAGATACAGCACTTGCAGTTTTTTCACAAACTTGGACAAACTTGGACCATGACTGGAGCCCGGCAGAAACTGAACTCCATCTTCACCCCAACCTCTTTGGAGCTCAGATCATCTCGAATCTGAGATGCTTCAGCAGGAGTCTCCTGCGACATGGTGAGCTTGCAGATTCTTGCAGACGTTGATCCCCATGGTGGGCTTTCTGAAAATGGTAGGTCCCCTGTCACAATGGTCACCATGGTTGTTTCAACACTAAAATATCTAAAATGGTCTAGTTATTCTAGTTTTGGATGATGACTGGGGGTAACCCCTTTGCAAGAAACCTCCATATGACTCCATATTTTTTTAATAAGATCTTCTGACAGCCACATATTGGAAAGCCAAAGCTTCGTGTCGTTTGCCAGGCGCCTGCGGCTCGTCAGGACGGAAGTGCAAGGGAGCACCTCTGTAATTGGACAAGAAAAAGCGACCATATTCCTCCTCCATCCAAGTGGAAAAGGGGAGAAAAAGGAAAGATCTTCCAGAGGATGGAAGTTCTAAATGTCTGAATTCTCTAAGTGCTTGTTTCTTGTCAACACCAACACACAAACAGAAGCAAAAACCAAGGAAATATCCTGAGTCAAAGCCCTCAAGAATGTTCCACTTGCTGCCACGTGATGGTCGTTTGGTTTTCAATGTGATGAGTCAACCGAAACCTTGAGCCAGCAGCTGGCAATGTCAAATGGCCATCGAAGGCAATGTGTGGAAAGCTGTGGCATCAAAACATGGCTATGGCTGGTATGGCTCTTAGCAACAGGTAAACTACCTACAGGAGTCTTTACTTTCAAGTGTTTTACCATGTTTTACCATCCACGATTTGACTATTTGGGATACCCCATGGCATCTCCTACCCATCTTGAGCTCTTGCAATGCTGAAGCGGTTTTCCGTGGCTGCGTCGTTTTTTTTTCCAATCTGGTGGCCCAGAAGCCCGAGCTCACAGCTCTTGGCAGATGGCTCCACAACTGGTTAACTTCCCGAAAGAATTGGGCCCTCCTGATAGAGAAAATGATACCAAGGAGGTTGGGTGGTTGGGGAGACCCACATTGGTACCGCGTTGTGTATTCAAGTGGCTAAAGCTGCATGGCATTGCACATGCGGCTCTTGTGCGATCATTCGCACAGATGCCCTTATGATTTTGGGCGGGATGCTGGCTTGAAGTCTTTCTCAAAATCTAAAAACCAGTAACTCTTGATTTTGAAAGAAAAGATGGGTCATGAGACCTCCAATGCTGCAAGACCCTGTCCTGTTTTTTTTTTAACCTCCGAAAAATGAACGAAGTGGTCCCAGTGTTCATTTTCACCTCCCCATTGGATCATGGGTTTGGAGCCATACCCAAACGACGCTCAGCCGGCCGAAGATTCGTCAGGCTCCGGAAACTGCCCAGCGGATGTTCCCATGCACATGGGGACGGGTCAAAATTGGTTGGACGAAACACCAGCAAAAATGTCATGTTCTTATTAACCATTATTAACCACTATTAACCACTATTAAACCACCACTATGGCTGTTTGTTTTCACCAGAACCAAATAACCATAGGACCATGTTAATAATGGTTTTGTTTATTCTTTATCTTGTGAATCCTACGTGATTTTTTTTTTAGTGGGTTCAGACGGGTTGCGGTGCCTGACCCAGACTGGAAGGTTCAGTGGCCCCAAAAATCATGGGGGATGGCGACAACTCCCAGACCAGGCCATTGCCTCCCATTGCGGGATCCGCTCCTGCCAGGTTGAAAAACTAGACGACGGATGGCCCGAGAGCGTAGAGGAGCAGGGTCTTCTCTTGTTAATATGGAGACACCATATTAGAAACAAAATATTAAAGATGTGTTATATGCAGTCGAGAAGAGGAGTATTAAGACAAAAGTTTTTACACACAGACGCTTTTACATACAGACCCTTTTACGCACAGACCCTTTTACACACAAAGCTTTTACCCACAGAAGTTTTTACATACAGAAGCTTTTACACACATACGCTTGCACACAGATGCTTTTACACACAGACACTTTTACACTGACACTTTTACACAAAGTTTTTACTCACAGAAGCTTTTACATACAGAAGCCTTTACAAACATACGCTTTTACACAGATGTTTTTACACACAGGCACTTTTACACACAAACACTTGTACATACAAACACTTTTACACACAAACACTGTTACACATAGACGCTTTTACACGCAGAAGCTTTTACACGCAGACGCTTTTACACGCAGACGCTTTTACACACAATCACTTTTACACACAGACACTTTTACACACAGACGCTTTTACACACAAAAGCTTTTACACACAGACGCTTTTACACACAGACGCTTTTACACACAATCACTTTGACACACAGACGCTTTTACACACAGAAGCTTTTACACACAGACGCGTTTACACACACAAACGCGTTTACACACAGACGTTTTTACACACAAAAGCTTTTGCACACAGACGCTTTTACACACTAACACGTTTACACACGGGCGCTTTTACACACAGACACGTAAAATCGTAATTTTACCTCAGTTTTGGCCGATCGACCCTCATTTCGTGCGAAAGGGTTACTCCGGCACAAGTAAACTCGCAGTTTTACCTCAGTTCTTGCCGATCGACCCTCATTTCGTGCGAAAGGGTTGCTCCGGCACAAGTAAACTCGCAATTTTACCTCAGTTTTTGCCGATCGACCCTCATTTCGTGCGAAAGGGTTGCTCCGGCACAAGTAAACTCGCAATTTTACCTCAGTTTTTGCCGATCGGCCCTCATTTCGTGTGAAAGGGTTGCTCCGGCACAAGTGAAATCGCAATTTTACCTCAGTTTTCGCCGATCGACCCTCATTTCGTGCGAAAGGGTTGCTCCGGCACAAGTGAAATCGCAATTTTACCTCAGTTTTCGCCGATCGACCCTCATTTCGTGCGAAAGGGTTGCTCCGGGGCAAGTGAAATCGCAATTTTACATCAGTTTTCGCCGATCGACCCTCATTTCGTGCGAAAGGGTTGCTCCGGGACAGGTAAAATCGCAATTTTACCTCAGTTTTCGCCGATCGACCCTCATTTCGTGCGAAAGGGTTCACGTTTCGTGACTCCCAGCCGGTACCACCCTCGGCCTAAAGAGAGAAAGATAAAGAAGGCGAGAGAGAGAAAAGGAAGAGAGAAAGGAGAGAGAGAAAGGAGAGAGAGAAAGGAGAGAGAGAAAGGAGAGAGAGAAAGGAGAGAGGAAAGAGGAGAGAGAGTGAGAGAGAGAGAAGATGTGAAGATGAGAAGTGTGAGAGAAGGTGTGAAGATGAGAAGATGTGAAGATGAGCAGATGTGAAGATGAGAAGGCGTGAGAGAAGATGTGAAGATGAGAAGGTGTGAGAAGATGTGAAGATGAGAAGATGTGAAGATGAGCAGATGTGAAGATGAGAAGGTGTGAGAGAAGATGTGAAGATGAGAAGGTGTGAGAAGATGTGAAGATGAGAAGATGTGAAGAAAGATGTGAAGATGAGCAGATGTGAAGATGAGAAGGTGTGAGAAGATGAGAAGATGTGAAGATGAGCAGATGTGAAGATGAGAAGGTGTGAGAGAAGATGTGAAGATTAGAAGATGTGAGAGAAGGTGGGAAGATGAGAAGATGTGAAGATGAGAAGGTGTGAGAAGATGAGAAGATGTGAAGATGAGCAGATGTGAAGATGAGAAGGTGTGAGAGAAGATGTGAAGATTAGAAGATGTGAGAGAAGGTGGGAAGATGAGAAGATGTGAAGATGAGCAGATCTGAAGATGAGAAGGTGTGAGAGAAGATGTGAAGATTAGAAGATGAGATACAGACCCCCACTATTGGAAGAACCCTGCGCTCAGACGCTCTCGGGAAAAACTGACTCAATGGGAAATCATTCCCCATCTTATTGATTCTTGTTGGAGGATTTATGGAAGATTTCTGGAGGATTTGTGGAGGATTTATGGGGGATTTATGGAGGATGTATGGAGCATTTCTGGACGATTTATGGAGGATTTATGGAACATTTCTGGAGGATTTATGGAGGATTTATGGAGGATTTATGGAGCATTTATGGAGGATTTATGGAGGATTTATGCAGGATTTATGGAGCATTTATGGAGCACTTATGGAGCACTTATGGAGGATTTATGGAGGATTTATGGAGGATTTATGGAGGATTTATGGAGCATTTCTGGAGGATTTATGGAAGATTTATGGAGGATTTATGGAGGATTTATGGAGGATTTATGGAGGATTTATCGAGGATTTATGGAGCATTTATGGAGCATTTATGGAGCATTTATGGAGCATTTCTGGAAGATTTATGGAGGATTTATGGAGGATTTCTGGAGATTTCTGGAGGATTTATGGAGGATTTATGGCGGCTTTATGGAGGATTTATGGAGGATTTATGGAGCATTTATGGAGCATTTATGGAGGATTTATGGAGCATTTATGGAGCATTTATGGAGGATTTATGGAGGATTTGTGGAGCATTTCTGGAGGATTTCTGGAGGATTTATGGCCTTTTGAGATCTTGTGAGGAACAAACCACGGGATGGAATGGATGGAATGGACGATGCGATGGGCCCGGCATTCCACCTGAGTTGAATCCTTGTTTTTTCAATATTTCGATGTATCCACTGAATATCTCAATATCCACTCAACATTCGGTGTACATATTCATGATCAATACAGCTTAGACCATGCATGTTAGTGGCTTCCCGCAGTCTCTGCTGGCAATTCAGCTCCATTGACAAATCATG